AATTAATATTAATAGTTCTGCTGCTATAGTTCAACATTCGCTTAAAGACCTTTTGGTTCTTGTGCAAGAAATTGTGACAGGACTCCACAGGATATTGCCAGGCTCAGAGCTGCATCTGGACTCAGCACCAGAGGGCAATAACCTTTATCTTCTTAATTCTTCCCTGAATCTGCACTTCAAAAATGATGACAATACACAGCTCTGTGCTCAGCTATATAAAGGGAACCGATTTTCCACACTGCTATTTGCTGGCTCTGGATTAGGAATGTAAAATTCAATTTAATTTGATAGCTGGTTAAACATTATGTTTAACCAATTAAACGGGTGGGTTGTGGCAGACAGGGGCTGCTATGGGTGGGCTGGATCACTTTGCAAATGGGAGCTGTTCCAGCCAGGCTGAAGCAGCCCCCTGCCCATTGCGGGCACCATGGGGCTGAAGTAGCCCCCATCAGTTAACAAGTTAACCATTCACATCCCTATTCTGGATTTACTTGTACTTCTATTTTGCTGAGTAGTTACCCTCTTAAAAATAAATTAGTTTAAAAAAAATCAAAACCTAGAAAATACCTCTGACAAGGTCTGTGTCCTTTTTTAACAGCAAGGGCTCAGAGCATTTTGGAAACAACAAGCTCAGTCTAGAGAAGGGTGAGAGAGAGATGGATGGAAATGTCCTTGCATCACTCAGACTGTTAAGGCAAACTGTGTGGATGAGCTGCAAAAGGGAACTCCTCCAGTTTTCCTGAGCGGGAAGAATGGTGTCTACCAGGACTGGCGGCCAGGAGTGTAAAGATAAAAGCCATTTCAATACTGTAAACCCTGCTGTTCAGGCATCAGACAGTGATGCAGGGAAGAACTAAAAGGCCAAAAGGAAGGGATGGTAGGCTGAAGCAGAATGAAATGGTTAAGATATAAAGTACAGTTTCAAGCAGACTACTCAAAGCTTTAGAACTGAATCTAATTTGGGAGCACCCGCAGCTCCCTGGCTAAATGCGATCATCCCTTTACTGAGTCACTAAGCTACATGCAAACTACTTTAGAGGTGACAGCAGTTTCCTGGCTCTGTCACAATATAGCATGAAATATATTTCTTTAATCATCTCAAGATCACCCCCCTGTGGAGACCAAGCAAAAGACAAGAGCTGGCCGACCACACAATTCAACATACATCCACAGTACAATTTGGATTATCTTGTTAACAGGACCAGTGTTTGGAAAAGCATTAAATACCACAAGTGAATTCTTGAAAATGTAGCTTACAGGAACCGATCTTTAAAAAATAATCACTTAGAAATAAAAAATAAAATATCATAAGTGAAGAGAGCATCTAATAACAGCTCAGAAATCAAGCAAAAGGCTTAACTTTACCCAGTTTTAGAATAGCTCTAACCTAGCCCCAAAGCTACTCTCCTTTCATGTGACTGGATCTGCATCTGCAAAGACATCATCTGGTCTGAATAATCTACTATGTATTTTAGAGTTTGTCTGTCTGTGTATCTGTTCAATGACTCCTCCTAAATTCTAAGATCACCAAATTCAATATACAGCTTCCTCCTATAACTTAAAGCAAGTCAAGGGTTTGGTTGGGTCAGTGTAGCCAGACAGAAACAGCCACCTTCACTCTCCCCCCCGACATCCTTGGGAGAGAGAATCCTTGAGAATGAAACTCTGTCTTCAAAGGCTCCAGGGCCTCCAGAGGTGCTGGAATAACAATAGCCCTGGATGCTAGACAGGAACCAGATAACAGCGGCAATTGGGCCAGCAGGCTACTGGGGCCACAGGTTGCCTTTGGCTGGTACCAGTAATTGATATGCCTACACACCGTCCCATCAGAAAGAATGTCTGGCCCTAATGATTTAGTTACCTCCATCTCACAGGTGCAAATTAAGCTTTGGACCCCCTGTGGGAATGGGCGTCACAAAGACGTTCCAACTTAATTGGTATTTTAATGACAAGAGAAACGTCCACGTGACCACAGGGGTATAAAGTGGGGCCCTGTGCCCCACTCTAATTGGAGATCCACCCATATACCTGCTGGTCAGGAGGTCTTGGACCCCCAAGACTTTAGGGATGCCTTCGTCTCGTATCGACTGCTTCCCATTGGGATTGAGAGAAACGCTGGCTTCGCCGGAGTAAGGATTGCAGGGGTGAGAATATACCTGCTAGGTGTCTGTTTGTGCGCATTCAGTAAGAGGTCAGGGAACCAAAAGGGTTCCATGGTACCTTTAAGTGACTGTTATTGTATTGTCTTTGTAGTGACTGTGTTATCTGTAACACAGCAGTAACATTTAACAGCTAAGCTTGCCTTGTAACAATAAAATAGTAACTGTTTAAGATTTAACCTGACTCCTCCTGTTGCTGTAACAGAACCAAACACAATCAAAAAGAACCATAGCCGGTCCGGGGTAAACGCATTAAGAGCTGAGCGTTGAGTCGTGCCGCCTCCATGGGGCAGACTCTTGGGGCGCCCGTCAGCCTCCCTGGCTGACCGCTTGTGACGGGGTGGAGCACCCCCGTCACTCGCTAACGCCGACTGGGGCAGCCGAGAGGGAGATAACAAGCGCGGCCGGCCGGCGCGAGGGAGGGACACGTCATCACGCGGCGCCTGGGCGCACCGGTGATGACGTCACGGGCGCGACGCCAGGGAACCCGGAAGAGAGGGGGAGCATAAAGGGGGTGGCAGCGACCGGGGAAAGGCGGTCGGAGCCAGGGGAATCAGGAGGTCAGGAGGGAGAGGAGGCAACCGAGAGGCCCGAGCAAGGGGGAAGCAGAGGAGGCAGGCAGCCCGCGGGAGTCAGCGGGTGACCGGCGCGGACAAGGGCTGGCGGAGTGGAGAACGACCCAGGGCGGGCAGTGGAACCCGGGAGCAGGTGTGTTTGAGGTACTAGCCCCCCTGCTACCACTGAGAGGCACACTCTCGGTGTTAGGGCCCTGGGTCGGGGCCCGGACCCCCCACTCCGCCCGGGAGATTCGGAACTGAGCAGTGTATTGAGCAGAATCGAGTTACAAGCAGGTGAGGTGGCGGATCTCACTGCCACCTCGTTACACCGCTGCGAAGGGACTTTGTCCTAGCAGTCAAAGACTCGGGTGTGATAGGGCTCACAGACCACTCACTACCCCGGCCACCGGCTAACAGTCAGGAAAATGGGATGTGCCTGGAATGCAGTTGCTTTTCATAAAACCATACAAAAAAAAGAACAGAATCACCAAGCAGGTGAAATAGGCTGGCTGGGTATGCCCCTTCCCCTATTCGGGACTGCCCCATTCCTAAGCCTCCCACTCCCAGGCACCCTTTACGGAGGACTGGAGGGACTGAAGTAGCCCCTCCCCCAATTCATACAGGAGCATTGCTGGCTGTTCCATTTTTCAGCAAGAGAAGG